ATATAAAATGAGGGCATTAGAGATTGCTATGAGAATCAACAGAATTTGGTGATTGGTTTGATATGACAAGAAAAAGGAAACTCTTATGAATTAACAGGTATCTTTGGGCAGTTTTGATATAGATAATATATTTGACAGAGCTTTTCAAGAATAATTAATGGTTAAAGTGATCTAACCATCTGTAACACTAAACAGTGCTAATATAGAATTTGTGTTAGAAGGGTTTAAGGATGGCAATCAGGTTGAAAGAGTAGGCTCTAAATAATCCTGCAGCTGAACCTATATATGTAAGACTAAAAAAATGTAAACCGTCTAATGGGAAATTAGGAACTAGTCCCTGCACCGACTAAGCCTGTCAGTATCATCGCTTGTTATATTGTATATAATGTTCAAAAGTTTTATATTTTACCATCATATTTAAACCATGTATTAAAACTAATAGCATTTATTATCTTAACACACATATTCATACTCTAAAAAACGTCTTTGTAAATAGGGAGGGGTGGAGAGGTTGAAGGGAAGGCAGGAGAATGGGGAAAAAAATAAGAACCAAGATTTATCATGTAAAGATACAAATTCCCAATGATAGATGTCATCATATCGTATACCTAAAATGTACCAATAAACTTAATTTTTTTGCCGGGGATTTAGCTCAGCAGTTCGGTGGCCTGCCTTGCAAGCGTAAGGACCCAAGTTCAATCCCTGGTACAAAAAAAAAAAAAAAAAAAAAAAAAATTAAATTTGTAATTCAATACATATGTAACATATTGCAGAAAATGAATAGTTAAAAGTTCTCAGTATGATGTGCAGTCTCCATCAAAAGATGAATTCAAATCTCAATCTTATTCCTTTTCTCCTATAAAGGGAGATAATATAGCATCGTTGTAAATAATAAAATAAGTAAAATTATCCATTAAACTATTTAACTCAGATATTCAACAGATTTCTTTTGGATAATTTACATGTCATATTTATTTCTGTGGTTTTTATGAATGGCCTTGGGAACATTAATACCAATTTAGAATCACTCCATTAAAGTATATTAAAGCTTCAAATTAATATATCAAGGTCCTTGGGTAAAAATATATGTAGCTTTAGTATTCTAATTTGGGAAATAGAAAGGAGTTTTTTATTAATTTTTCTTTCATTTAGTAACTTAAGAAAATACCTAAGAAATTGACTTAAGAAATTTTAAAGAAGGCTTCTATTATCAATGAGACATCTTTGAACTTACTCAAGCTACTACAGAATTAAGCAGCAGAAACAAACTATCCACTTTTCTGGAATGTATTCTAGTTAATCTGATCCCTTGGACCTCATTTTGTTCTTCTATAAAGTGAAAAGTTGGTCTCATTAATTTTCCAAGTAACTACACAGCAACTGTTACCAAGGCTGCCTTTTACAGTAATTTCTACATACTACTCTAGACTTAATGAGTTAGAATCTGAGGGGTAGTTTCCAAAGCTGTATTTCAAATTTCCTCAGTTACTGATAATCACCTAGGTGGGGGACCTTCTGGTCTAGTCAGTTACTAAAATCCTTTCTTCTGAACTTTTTCTTTTCTGTATGATAATGTCTGATTGACATTTGGAAGTATATATTCATTTCTAAGGCTTATGGCCATTAATCACTGTATTAGTTTTAAATGATTTAATAAAGTAGATCAACAAGTGTGCTCATTAAGTGTACGAGTAAAAGCAGACAATACGGTTTATAGTGTAACAAAATCTATTTCATAACCATGAGCCAGTAATACATTTATACTAAATATAGTATTTCAAAGCATTCTGCACAGAGAATTTACAGACTATTTAAATAAAATTTCTAGTTGTTTAACAAAACACTTTAAGAACTATAGTCTAATTTTCAAAACTAAAAAACCAAAGAATTAAATCACTTTATGGCACTTTAAACATATGCAAACAGCAAGCAAATTTCTGTGCTAGAAAAATGGAAAAAAAAATTAAACTAAGACAAAAATTCAAGGATTGGAAATTAGAAATACCTAGTCAACTGAGGCCTAATAAGGGTCTTTAAGCATCATATTTTTTTTTATAAAAATAAAAACACCGCAAACATAGTATATTTTTTAGCAAAATCTTTTTCCTGTGATAACAGAAAATTCTATTCCTCAGATTTTTGAAAAATATCTTAAAGTACTGACATCATCCTTCAGATGCTGGTTCTGCTGCATTTTATTGTAGTTTTTTTCCTCAATAAAACTGGACCCTGTAACAGCAAAGATAATGAAACATGCTAAGATAAATATTGGTCACAGAGACTTCATGAATAAACTGGGAACTATTTATTGAACATCTACCTTTCCATCTCTAAAAAGAACTAGAAAGATAAAACCCCTTCTCTAGAAAGTTTCCCATTTACAATAGGCCAAGCACTGATTCTGAATCACTATGAGACTTCAATTCACCGCTGTGAACTGAAACTGTACAGATACCGATTTCCTCTGTAAGCACAAATATCATCTTTTATTTTGGACATTTCTTAAATACTCATAATGGGTACTTTTAAGTTTGTAGTTGCTAAGACTAGCTATTTTGTCTTTCATTTCAGTTTTTCTAACATATCCCCCACGGTTTTGTTCATCCCCTTAGCATTTTCTGTGACATTTTGTGACATTTTGCTACTTCTACTGTTGCTCTTGCCACTCATTCCTCTTTGCTACAGCATGGCCATTTGAGCTTTTTCACCTTCCCTTTCCTGGCTTCTTATCCATGTGGGTGACTAATATTAGCACTTCCTCAGAAGTTAGGTCTTCAATAAACATAACCATCAGCATTTCTGATCAGTATTTCTTTAAGCTTTGTGATGAGATTCAGATCTTCACTCTAACAATCGTCTTTCAGAATGCTATTCAGAAATAATATCTTCACAAAGTTATTTTTTAAGGGTTTTTGTCATAAGAATGTTTCATTAAGAAATTGATAAGCACATAATTCTAAAGAAATGTATAAATTAGCCAAAAAATGCTTATACTGCATTGTCAACTCCCACCATGACAAATATTGGATTTTGCAAGAATACTGTTAAAACCATTTGGTTCAATGGCACCACGCCTGCCTGGCAAGTGCAAGGTCCTGAGTGCAATTCCTGGTACTGGGAAGAAAAAAATATATATTTGGTATCAGACATTTGTTTATGACATAATGGTTAGATCAAGAAATTAAAAAGTTTTGGTTCTTTGACATTAAATTAAAATTGATATGACACATTAAGTTTGAAAATTTAAAATGCAAAAGATCGTTAAGTATTTATTGGCATGTCTATTATACTTATCGTAAAATGTATATTTAAGAATCAAATTACATGTGAGTCTTTAAGATGCTATCAAGCAAACTGCCATCTATGATCCATAGTCAATCCTTCTACACTTTTATCTCAAGCAATATGTAATGCTTAGGAAATTTTAGTTTTCCAAATATATTCAGAAAAAATTATCAGAATTTTATCTTCCATGTAAAAAATTACAGTTGCATAACCCATTTGCCACAAATGAACTCCCTACAAGTGTTTTGAGGCAGCAGCCGACCACTGTACGACTTTCTGTGGAGGTGGTTTTGTCCATTCATAACCACTTCGACTTCACAAGAATAGTACGAGCGACAAGGGACAAAGGGGTCACCTTTCATTGTTTCACGGACTTTTGGTATTTTCATTGTATGTTACATGCCTGATTTCACCTTCACAACCAAAACAAAAATGGCAATTTTTATTCTGAAAGGTAACTGTACGCTCCCAGTAGTAGGCATTAGCAGCTTCCAACACGATCTCTAGGGATAATTCGCAGTTCTGAACCATGCTTTAGAAAAACGTTTCCTACACAAACAAACAAACAAAAAATACAGTTACACATTTTTAAAAATGACAAGTTATCTTAATATTCCAACAGTTACTGCATACTATAAAAAATGTAGTGAAAAGTAGGTACAAATATTTAAACACCATGAGAACCAATTCCATGCCTTTAATGTCTTGTTCCTATTCCTCCCATTTCTTCAACACTCAACAAATGCTTACAAACTTTAAATAAGAACATCAGTCATGAAAATACTAATACAGTCAGCACATAAAATTAATTAACTTAATTATGAATATTTAATACACAAGAAAAGACCTAAGTCAAGGGAGGAAAAATCTAAATTGTAACAAGTGACAAAAATTTAGATACAGTGATTTGGCTCAACTATTTGTTGAGGTTTTCTTCACGCCCAATGATATACACAATTCAACTAAGAAAGGCAAAACAATACACAAATATATTAAAGTAAGCAGTAATTCAAACTAATGAATTATACAGTTAAAACTGTTACTTGAAATAAAACTGCTTATTAAAATAATTTTTAAACTACAGTATATCACTCATGACAATGAGATAGCTTTGTTATAATAAAAAAAAAAACTTTACAATGTACCAATTTAAAAGTACTGCTCAACAATGTGGTTATAGTATATTATACCATGTATGGTTTCAAAAGATTTATAATTAGACTACTGGCTCAAAAAGACATTTAAAAAATAAAAACAGTTTTTAAAAGTTTAAGACTATATATAATAAAGTGTAAGACTATTTTTACTTTGCCTGCTGATACGGACATCAATATATCACTGAATTACGTTTATCTTTTAAAGTTCTAAGTGTGGATTCAGTATCTAGAAATGTAAATTATACTGTTCATTAAAATTACAGTAGCACTTACTAAATGTTACCCACATATAATGTACCCTCTTAGGAGGTAGGTCTAAATCTTTATTCGCATCAGCACAATCTTACTTTCAGACTTTTTGTTATGTGTATTCAACACTCTTAATGCTTACAAGCCATTATTAGGTGTACTTGTAGCCAAAAACATGTATAACTGTCATATGTAATGAAATAAACTATTACTCAGACTCATAAGAGTGCTCTACAATTTCTAAATAATAGCTACATCCTGATGAAAATCTTGAACCTAATTAGAATGAATCAAATATTCAGAATCAATCAACACTCATAGCCCCAGTGATACTTTGAGTTTTCACATACTTACCAGCAGTCTGTGCGGGATTTATTCCTATTCCATCTAAAAAATAAATTGTAAAACCATGCAAGTTATTTCTAAAGCTAAAATAGTAACAAGAAGAGACTCGCCAAAGCAACACTGTATAAGCATATATTAAACAATTAAAATCCCAGAACATAAATGACAATCTTTCAAGTAAAAGTAACCTGTCTATTGAAATCTACTGTTAAATATTTATACATATTGTGGGGTTAGACAAGAATATCTGTCAACACAGTGATCACAGTAAGTTCTGGGGAGATAGTTTCTCCATATACATACACAGAAACACACACACACACACACACACAGAAAACACACACACACACACACACACAGTTTGTCATTTCTTCCAAAAGGCTATAAAAGCACTACAGGTATGCCATTAATCATTTTCTTACTCCTCTGAGGCATAAAATCTTAAGAACAGAGAGATCACAAATCATTCCTTTAAAATTCCACTGACACTGTGTAAGTTTCAGAACATTTTCCCATGAGTTACTGATTGATGACACTAAAGCTATCCTAAAAGTAGGCCAGCATTCTTCTAAATAGAAACACTTCAGTGTGAAAACATACAGAACATTGTATACAGAGAAATTCTGTCACACCTAAGATGAATCGTGGTACTGCACTTTAAATCCCTTTCCTCTTATGTCTATCCTAACAGCACATAGACCATACAGCACATTATTAATTCCTATATTTGGAAGAGTTAACCCCTTCCTACAAGCTTACTTCTCATCTTATTATTTCTATTTTCCCATAAGACTAATTTCATCATACTTAACTGTTACCAGCATTCCAAAATATTCAATTTTAACTGAATACCTAACTGAATTAAATATTGCAAAACTAAAATTAAGTTTTCTACAGAAAATATAACACAATAGTTAAGATAAATTCCTACTTAACTTTGTTTTCTAAACCATTTTCTAAGGCAGTACTTTAAAAATGACATAAAAATGAAAACATCAAACATCCTACTAAATTAAAAACAGAAAGCTACTTAGCTACTCCCATTAATAATCTGAAATGCAACGAGAAAGACACCAGAAATCATAAAGTGCTATTTATATCAAAGCACAAAGAAAATGAATGGAGCTAAGTAAAGGCGATAACTCAGACTTATGTTTTACCATGAAGTACATCATTTATGTTAACATACATGTGGGGCTTTTTAATTGAACCAGTTTTGATTAGATTCTTCTTCAACAATGTCTACAGCTCAAAGGTAATAGTTTTAAAGAAATTCTTACCATTGGTAATAATTGCACTTGTTGCTGCAGGAACCTTAAACTAAAAGGCAGAAAAGAAAGATATCTATATAAATATCTATAAAAGATGAGTAACAAGAAAGAGGTACATATAGCCAATTCTATAGTTCTAGAATGTGATTTATCTTTTAGAGTGATGAGACCAAAGTACTACAATCTGCTTTGTTTTAAATAACCTTATATCCTAAATAATGTGTCTGACTATATTAAGGATACTATAGATTATAAAATACTCTTTATTTTATGGACTGCAAAAATGGAAAAACATCAATCTATAGCCAAATCAATGTCTAACTTTCAAATGTCGACATGTCACTTTTATCATATGTAATTCTATTATACAAACAAAACATAAGTAGAATTGATGAGAATATTTCTAAAGTTTCTGCGTAGAAATTGCAAGTTCCTAATAGACAGGCTTGTATTTAATGAGAGATTTCCAGAAGGTTTTCAGGTAACAGCCAAGGCTTGTACTCCCTTAAAATTCTCAAGATTTGCTGACTTAATATCAGCAATATTCTAACATTCTGAAATAGTCTAATTACACCACTAGGATATAACAACTAAATTCAGTTAAGTGCATGTCACATGGCGAATTATGTGACAGCCACATGGCGAACAGTCATAGCAAAACATCCCTGATCCATTTCAGAAATGTCAAAGAAGAAACTCAATAAAATGAAGTAAGGAATGGGTTGGTAGATAAGGTAAAGTCCATCATTTAACACTGTAAGGACCAGAAGTTAACGAAGTGTTTCATCTCTTCAAAATTTATTCATTTCTCCAACCAGTATTACTTATTAGCATGTCTGCACTATGGACTAACTTTATGAAAGTTGAGTTTTGTGATCAAATATATTTCAAAAACATTTTATTAATCTAGTCACCTTCTCAAAAGGCTTTAATATATTGCCAATACAGTCTATTTATCTACAAAAAGGAAATGGTGAATGAAGTGTTTCCTGGCCACTAATCCATTTTTCAAAAAAAAAAAATTTTTTTTTAAGTTGTACTAGATTTCTGTGTGTGGTTCTGCTCAAGCCACATATAATGGCAATGTAATTCTAGGCATTTATAAAAGGTCACTTATGCACAATTGATAAAAACAATTAAAAGCTTACTTTCAAACTAATTAGAGTACCTCAGACCTTCAAAACAAAGAATCCTACAAAAGTTTTAGTTACCTTACTGAGACTAACTTTCACATTATGCCCTTATTAAGATAAGCTGAACATTTTCTTAGTCCCAGTCACGTCACAAGTGACCATATACTTAGTGTCTTTTAAAAGCCGAGAGCAATTGCTGATATAGTTTATTCCTTCTCTAGAGTACAAAAGAATTTTATTGTTTACTAAGATAATTTTATCAAGGATTTAAATCTTGACCCTTGGTGTATCAAGAAAACTTTTTTCACTGAAAGATTCAACAATATCGTTTCCTGATAGTTCTTCTCAAATTTTATTAGTATATATGGTTGTGCAACATTTGTTAATTTTCTACTGCACATTCCTTTACAACTGTTTCTAAGTTCACAAAATGACTAAGGTTACAGCATGAAAGTGGACACTATAAAATAACTAAACAAAACAAAAATAACTAAAAACATAAAATGATGATTATTACAAACAGCTTATTCAGATATAATTCTTAAATCTGGCATCTGTTATATCTCTGGAATATTTATTCCAAGTCATCTGTGCAGCAAAAACGTACCCAGATTTGTGTCTCACCTCATTTTACTTACTTTCTCGGCATGAACTGAACAAAATCGACTTAAATACCACCACTTTGAGTTAAATTCTGAATAAGTAAAGACATTAGTGGTCTCTGAGATAGTTCACAAGGAGTTATGAGCACACATATTGGTTGGCTGACTTCCAATTAATCATTTAAACAGAGGGCAGAGCCATGAATTAAGCTGGTTTCTTATTTATTTAGTTATTACGATGATTTTTTTCTGTAACTACACATTTTTCTAAAGAGTTTGTACCAAAGTATTTAGATTTGGGTTAATCTGAGCCTGTCCAGTATCTTCACTTCACCACAAAATTTTAGTATTGTATTTTTACACAAATCATTAGATAGAAAGTACAGGCAATAACTAGCTCAGTGATACACAATTTACCTACTATTCCCAAGGACTTATCTTTGATTTCCAGGACTACAAAACACAGCACAACACATCACACACCAAAAAATAATGTGGTGAAGAGAGAAACTGCTCCATGTTATACAGCTAAAACTAAAACACATATCTGAAGTCTCCCAAGTCATATTTTAATGCCATTTTTACCAGATAAACCAACTCTTCCAAGTGTCATGTCTGATTAGCTTTATAGATGCTTTTGATAATTTGGGAGAATTCTTGTTTCTTAAAAACAAAATTCTACCATGTTTTTAAAAACTAGACATTTTCTCAAAAGAAATTTTACTGACAATCCATATGATCATTCAGAAAATGTGAAAAGATAAATTTTTAAAAATATATATACTTTTAGAATTAAACCTAAAAAATTATTTATAGAATATAATAAAAGTTTTTTTTTAAATTTACATATCATTGGCAACTTTAAGTTCAATAAAAGATCCTATAATTTTCAATGGTTACATGAAACATGTCAGTTTGTTCAAGTCATTCTTTTCAACTGTAAAAATCAAAGCTTTAACTTATAACTTTTTTTAAGAGCATAAACCTAGCAATAAAACCAGAGGGAGATGGTTGGTGATAATTTTTTTTTAAATTTTGAAACATACTGCCAAACTGAATTCCATAAGGGTTGTTCCAATTTTCATACTTACTTCTTCAGCTGCAAACTTTAAGACTGCTGTGAAAGGTGTACTTTCAGGAACACTGAGTCTGCAATAATAACAAAAAAGACATTTTAGAACATAAGTGTTTTTAAAGCCTGTGTCCCTTACTCTTTCCATTGTAACATATCTGAGGAAAGCTGCCTTTTGAGTTTCAAAGTTGGCTGTTTTGATTTTAATACATTAACCTTAAAAAAAAAAAAAACCTTAAAAAATATTAAAAAGGAAATAGCCTTAGAGTAGCTGTCCAAAGTAGCACTTAAAAACAAATCCATACTGATTTTTATGTTTTAGCATTTATACAAGTCTAGCATATGGGCTGCTGTTTGTTTCTGGATATCGCTGCAACAAGCTGAATCTCTCCTTGATCCTTACTACTTCTTGTTTAAATTTCTTTACACCCAATGCAGCAGTGTGACCATTTTCATTAAAAGTAGATCTGGGAAACATCATGACATAATATAGCTTTCCAATAAACCCTCATGTATAGGTTTAATAAACATGTCTAAAATAGTAGACCAAATTGATGAAAAAATGGTAACAATGAAGTGATTTTTCACCATCATCTGAAAAAGAGCTTAATAGTATCTGATATAATACCGTGGAAAGGTGATTTTTTAATTGACTCGTCAATATCAAGTGTATTGATAAACTTTTTAAAAAATGACTTTGTCCCAAAGTCAAATCGGCATGAATTTTCAGTTTAAAAATGAAAATGACATTACACTTAAAAATGCAAGTTTTTTAAAAAGTAAAAAAAGTAAGATTCCTATGTAAAATGTTACAGTGATTAAAAACAGAAAATAGATAATTTCAAGGAAAAGAGGGAAAAGACATTTCTCTTCGAAACTATTTGTCATCATCCCATCAATCTTCAATGTCTCAATATTAAATACAACATGAACTATCATTATATAACGCTCGAGTATATGCCCACATTCCTCATTTAGTCTACAGATCTCTGAATATAATATAAACATCATAACCACAACAGCATACTATACTGCATTTTAGAAAGAGTAGATTTTTTGGCTGTCACTCTTTCACTCCTCCAAATTACTGCTAAAGGATAAAACTGGGTATCATACTTTTCCTATTTTCTTGTTTTGGTGGAGACAGAAAATGAAAATAGAACTTTAAAGGATAGTCATTTATTAAAAAAACAATAGCTTACAAAGTACACAATAGTTTTTTAATTTCTGCAGTATCTCTACAATTTATACAGACATAATATATATACACATAGATGTATATGTGCCCACAATTAAACCTACACTAAACAATACTGCCTACTAAATTAAGTCACTGGTACAATATTCTGTTAACATTGTCCTACTCTGTCCTCTTTCTCCCTCTCCCAACTAGAACACATTTATACATTGATGAGAATAAGTATATAGGGTGAAACCAATGACAGGGAGAAAGAGGTCCCTTCACTTCAACCACTTTACTTTTTGTTTTGTTTTTTTGAGACAGGGCCTTGCCATGCAGTTTAGACTTGCCTAGAAGGCAGTGATCCTCCTGCCACAGCCTGCTAAGTGCTAAGTGCTAAGTGTGTGCCACTGCCCTCAGCTAACTTCATCTACTCTAATCCTACAAAGAGATAGGATCTAGAATCTAAGCAGGCCAACCAGCTTGTCATAGGAACTCTAAAAATAGATAGAATCTATAAATGAATTTTGTATAAATGAATAAGCAACTGAAATCGTGGATTTATACATGCCATGGAAATTTACAGATGCAGGGATGGAAAGATGTAAGACTCCCTCTCTGACAGCTTGAGTAAGAGAAGAGCTATGGAAAGTGTGAAATATTTCTGAGAATAAGGAGAAAAATAACACTGGGGGGTATAAAATGCTAGTCAATAATTTTATGTAAAATCCAAAAATTTAATTGTGTCACTTCTTCAGAAATATTTAGTTATATATATGGAACACAAATGGTTGGATTCAGAGTTGCTGTTTTGTCAAGCAAAATATACTAGGAAGAAAAAAGAGACATCAGAATTGAGGGTATTTCCAAGAAAATGATTTAGACAGACAATGTACTTACTCTAAGCTGGATAAGTGAGAAATGAGTCAGGTATAGCACTGGGGTGGAAAGTGATAGATTTAAAAAACAGTGTGATCAATGGGTTAAAGGAAGCATTGTAGAAGTGATATTAAGAGTAATGAGCTGAAAAGAGACAACATAGTTATCTATAAGAAAGTGTCTGAAGAAAACATTTTAGAGATGAAATAATTAATTAGAGTTCCTAAACTTCTAGGCCGTGACAATGAATACTTAATATAAGGTGTGAAAAGAAAAATTATAGACATGGAAAACACAAGGGATCAAAAGGCCTGCAGGCTGCAGGGGTGACAAGTGGAAGTCATTGAAGCGGATGACAGTTGTAATCAGCTCAATAGGCCATAGTACTCATAATTTTGATTATAAATTTTTTCCAAGTTTTATCTGTATTAGTACATGCTTGCCACACATGCTTACATTCTCTGTGGAGACTTGGTACACGTATATAACATATCTTAATTTTTTCCTTCATCCTCTTCCCCTCCCCATTCACCCTCCCTCCATCTCTTGGTACCTCTCCTTTTTGTAAAACATCTATTTTCTACTACCTATCTTCCGTTTTTCTCTTGATTTTTACCTTGGGTTTCTTATGTGTAAGAGAAATCAGTAATATTTAAGCTTGTGTGGCTGATTTATTTTCCTTAAGATTATGGTCTCTAGGTGGATCCATTTTTCAACAAATGACTCAAGTCTATCCCTCTTTACAGCGTAGTACTCCATTGTGTATACCACATTTTCTTTCCATTCATATGTTGATGGACATAGTGGCCACTTCCAAAATGCTGCTATTATGAATTGTGCTGCTGTAAACATGCATATGCATATATCACTGTGTGTGTGTGTGTGTGTGTGTGTGTGTGTGTGTGTGTGTGTGTGTGTTTGTCTTTAAACCTTTTGGAAAGATACCTAGAAGGGGAATAGCTGGGTTAAATGAAATTTCTAACTTTTGTTTTTTGAGAGTCTCCATAAAACTTTACTGAAGTCCTGTTCTTTGCCACATATAATGGGACTTTCAGTTGAAATAACCTCAGGAGAGTCAGTGTAGAATCACTGGAAGTTCTACATGGGCAGCGTTTAGACCACTGATAATCCACCTAACTGTTAAAGAATAAGGAAAGGCCTTACATAGATAAAAGGCCCAATTCATATTGCCCGTGCTATGAACACTGCTTATTAATTCCAACACAGGAAATGTGTAATGTAAGGCTCATTACTTTGTGATGCCTATTGTCAAGTCGCATACAAAATAAAAAGCCTGACAGTAAAAAGCAATCAACTAATTTTGGAGTGTGCAACGAAAAGTACTGCCTAGCTTCCTTAAACAGCTGGCAAACAGCTGAGAGGCCCTTTCATTCACCAGATGACAAGAACTGCTGAAGCCCCTGTCCAAAGGTCCTTCAGCTTCACTCGCCCACCAAATGAATTCCTAGGGAAGGCCAGGGGTCAGCAGAAACTCTCTGGAGTCACCGTTCCTGGGAGACACCCAGAAGAGCACACAGGGTACCTCTCCTTTCAGGATCCTGTGGGGAAGGCTCCTGGAAGGTCACAGATAGGGGTAAAAGGAGGGAAGCAGTGCAGGCTGGATGAAATGGGAACGTCTGAAAAGCTCCGAACACCTCCAGCCCAGCCAGGCCTGAGCAGCAGACGCCCCGGCAGGCAAGAAGATACTCACACTTTGTAGGGCAGCCGCGGATCTGACGTCAGCGTGATCTTAAAGGAAACCTTCGACCTGGGTAATACAAGGGGAGAAAGTCAGGACTGGGTAGCAACCTAGGTGCGGGGCGGGCTTCTCACAAGTACATAACTTACATGGTGGACCCGCGGATAGACACGCCACCCTAGCTTGGCCGACCTGCCCACTTCCTGGGCAATGAGGAAGCGCCCGGCCCCGCCCCACTCAGCTCCACGTGTCCCTCGGCGAGCCGGGGTCCTCCAAGTCCGCTGCTGTCCAAAGCAATGCCTGAAAATCGTGCGCAGATACTCGTTATAGGCGCAGCCTTAGCCTTACAACTACCTACTGCTTTTGTGTTTTTGTTTCTGAAGCAGGAGCATCGGTGGAATGGAAAGGATATCTTTCTAACTTCAGTTATACGCGCTCATATTTGTAGTAAGGCAGTACAAGTGTGAGCATAGCTTTTCGACCCTCGGTCCTACGGGCAGGTTAGGGCGGAAGTAAGTGTATAGGATAGGAGGAAGTGCCGGGAAGGACACAGGATGGAGCGGGGCGGGGTTGTGGGCCGGGGAGGTAGGTGGGGTGTAGTTGGACGCTCTCTGCCGCTGGTAAGGCAACCGGCGCCCTCGCAGGCTGGGCCTGTCCTCAACGACTCTAACTCCGTTTATTAACATTTTATCTTCTTTCTTTCCAGTAACCCAGTCCTATTATACCTATTATATTCCTAATATTTTCCCATTATTACTTTATTCTTAAATAGTGATTAATTTTCACAAGAGTTACTAAGAATTAATATTGTATTCAAAGACTTGTGCCAAAGACTTGAGAAATACAAGATCCCAGCATTTGAGAGATGTAAAGTCTAGTGGGGAAGATTGACTAGTATATTTAAATAGTTCATGATGTGATCTAATAGGAGTTGCCAATCACTGGCCACTTTTATTCAGTTTAAAAACAGACTTTGAACTCGTTCTGTGTCCAGACACTAAGCTAAAGGTTGAATAATAAAGGTACGTGTCATCTCTGTAGGATGAAGGAGTTGATAGTATCTATATAATGAGGGAAGAAGGCTGTCCTGTAACCTTTATTATGAATCTAAATATCACTGTTCATAAAGCAAACATCTCTTTCCAGACTTAGTACTCTTTTTAAGAAATTCTGTAACGAATAGATAAAAGAGGAATGAATCAGACACATTATTGGAAGGTCTAGATAATCTTTAGAAAATGTGTTACATTCTTAAGGAGAGAATCTAGAGAGACTAAGAGGAAATACAGTGCAGGTGCCGAAGACCGATTTCATTTTTGCTATAATTTTGTAGCCTACTGACCTATGATGAAATCTCTCAAAGGAAGTGATACTGGTTCTGACCGTAGCACAGCAAGACTACAGTATTCTCAAGACATTTACCTTCATTTGCGAAATTATAGGTCTTGCCAAATATGGAGTTACAGGTATATTGATTCATAGATTTGAGGATCAATAGCCCTAGAATTAGTGGACATGACCAAGATGTGTGATGGTGTCTACCCAGTGTTAGCTAGTCAAATAACGATGAAGAAATTGGTATACATACACATAGTATCTATAGTATATGTGTGTGTAAATATATATTTAAATAAAATTTGTACCCTGTTATTTGCAGTTTGCTTTTTGTTTATGTGTAAAACTTAACAAAATGCTAAAGAGAAAAGAAACTGAGCAGATAATATCTATTGTATGATGTATGTGAAGACAGTACTCAACTCCAAGCAATGTAACCTCAATACTCAGATTTGGGTGCCATTGAAGAAAAGATTTTCATATAACATATCAAAATAACAAGAGAAAAGATCGTATTCTCAAAAGATACAAAAACGTACCTATTTCTAAATGTTTAGAATTTTTTTTCCCATCTCAGGTTTCCAATTGTGTTCTCATATGTTTGTCTTCTGGAAGTAGTAACATAATTTCTGGATCCCTTTGATTTTTTCCCCTTACTCCAGAAGGAAGATTACAAATGGATTCAATATTTTAGTTTTTTAGGTGTTTCTAAGGCATTTGCATTTGGCAACTTTTATAGCCAAAGAGAGACCTAATTTGCTTAAAAGTTACAATCCTGAGTATATTTAGTGAGTATAATTTAATGAGTATAAACAGAAGCCAACTCTGAAGCAAATTTAAGAAATAATTGGTAAATGTAGCATTTTAAGACAACAAACTGCATAAATAGCCTGATGTGTCTTGGGTGAGATCCCAATTAGTATCATGTAGAGGCAGAAATGACTATAGAAGTAAATAATGTGACCATATTATATCTCATTAAATGTCAGAAAAATATACCAATATTCTTTTGCAAAAATATGTAAATTTCTCATTATTAGAATGGAATAAAGAAATTAAATTCATATGAATTTGTTATTTCTATATACAGTCTTACATAAAATAAAAATATGTCAAATTTGTTTGCTAAAAACAAATAAAAAGATTTATTTTCTTTTTCATGTTATTCTCACTATATTTATGAGTATGACTAAAACCACCTGATAGTATAATTATGTAATTCTTAAAAGTTTATATTGGGATAAATCTTGTATGTTCTATTCCAAATACTTTATATTACAAGAGATAAATTATAGCCTGATCAATTAGTAATAAATAAATATTTTATAATACCTTAATTTTATCTTTTAATTTTATCTTTTCTCTCATAATCCATTAAAAGTCATTGACATCATTGTGGCAATGACAATATTGTCTCAAAATCAATCAGTATTTCACATATAAAGTGTTGTTAATCATTTGTAGAAAATAATAGTCAATCTTGCAGAATAATGGAATGTATAGAATAGTCGTTACTAGAGACTGAAGAAGGTAGAGGGAAGGGACAGAAAGAAGTTTATTAAAGTGTAGAATTACAGTGAAGAAATTACTTTTGATTTTCTAGCACAGTAGGGTAATTGTTGCTTAAAATATCTAGGAAATATTTCAAAATCAAAGTGTATAAGAGTAGAAATTTCCAACACATGCAAAGATTAATGGTTGAAGAGATGGAAGTGCTTATTACACAGATTTTGTTATTGCACATTCTATATATGGGTTGAATTATCATACCCCATAGAGGTGTATGGATTATATATATATAAATTTTATTTATGCTCTGTAATTCTCCAAGAATAAGTATTTAAGATACATATTAATCATGTCTCTAAATATGGGATAGTACATAAACTTTAGCCAAAGATTATTCTTACATCAAAATAGTACTAAAATCAGCCCATTGAAGACTTGCCACTTGTGCATTGAAGATGTGCCTTGTATGCTACCTAGAAGAAGCAGGTTTGATGGCAGTGAGGGTGTGAGTTCTCATTTCTGTTTTAAGTATTTTTTTACCAGATCTTAATACTTTACTCTCACGTTAATCTATGAGATAATTATCTTATAATTAACCATTTTATAATAGAAATTAAATTCCAAAGGAAGCCAGCTCTTTTAATGAAGTTTATTTGTAATTATGCCAAATAATGATTAAAGGCATTTAAGAAATAAAATTACAATGGCATAAGAAAACAAAAATGGCAGTTAAGGAGAAATTTTAAAACATAAACGTTATTTAGAAAAAGTTCATTTTAAAATAAAATATAAGAATCAAAAAAGAACAGTGTCATACATGATAGAGTGGAAAATGTACTTCAAATGGATCATGCTGCCTTCAAATGATAGGAAATGCTTGGTTACAAAAAAGGAAAAATCATTTCTATATTTACTAAAATTTTCCACTGAAATTCTTTTAAAAATGGAGTGAATTTAATAGTGTCATTATGGGTAAAATACATGAATTAAGGGAAATGAATTTGCCTTTTAAAAAATCTTTATTTTATTGTTCTATAATACTTTGTGAATTCCAGTTCTAGGTTTGTATACAATTAATAATATTTAAAATTTTGTTTTTAGTGTTATTCAGTAGTACTTTCTTTTCATACTTTTTGTATTTTTTTTTTTTTTAACCAGGGATGGAACACGGGACCTTGTGCTTGTGAGGCAGGTGGCAGCACCACTGGGCTAATCCCCTGGCCCTGTTATTCAGTAGTAGATGATAGCTATTTACCTTGAGTTATGGCCCTAAGAGTTATGATCATTAGAACAGCTTTTTCAGTTAATTAACTTGTTACTAGTTGTTAGAATATGAATTATTCTCCCATATACTTTCAAAGCACTAAAATAACTTTGGTATCTTACCTGCAACATAGCTTTTCTATGTTATTAATTTAGTTATATTGTTTGAATACCATTAAAATATATTGTTTTCAATTAAATTTTATTAGTTTTAAGTATCTGACTTTTTTACTTGTAATTCCCCATCATACCTAACCAAAGCAAGAAACACCTATTGATGATTTTCTCTTACATTTGAATAGCATTTTGTTCTTTTTGAAGTCTTTTGTATCATTGCCTCCTTTTATTTCTGTAATGAAACATATAAATCATTCAAGATGGGTCTTGTCTTTTAAAAATCATGCAGCTAACAAAAAGTTATTTGTAGGACCAAGTTTATACTATAGTTTGTGAAAGAATAGTTTTAAAACCTCATTATTGACCTATCTGTTCAAAATTTTCCTAGTTTAATCCATGCAAGCTTATATTAAAATTTATTTGCAGATACAAATAATGCAGTCAGTATGTTCAATCAGCTTCTCAAAATGTTTTATTCAATTTTGTTTCCCCAGAGCCTAGAACAAATGTATGGGACACATCAGGTATTCAAATGCAGTTGTTCAACAAATTAAAGTTCGTTTAAAAGTATAACATATTGGTAATACTTTTTTTTTCTTTTTATTGAGTTTATTGGTACAATCTAGGTATACAATACAGTTCCATTCATCATTGGGATCCTGTACCTTTTCATAATAGGTCTTGATTCTCATTTTTCCCCTTGTCCCTGCCCTCCCTTCACCCCCTCCTCCCCTCCCCATTTACAAAAATTTTACTTCCATGTTTTCAGTTTCTCATATTTTTTTCCTCTCCCTTATTACCTCTCCCCCACCCTTCCCACTTTCCCTACACCTTTAGCCCTTTACTTCCTATTTCACATTATTAATTATCTCATTAGGATCCTGTGTACTATTATAGTTTTTCACACCAAAGAAACTATTCGTTATTTCAGTTAAAGAAATCTCTGTATGAACATTAAAAATAGGGAATCCTAAAATAAAACTAAAAAGGAAAGTAAGAGAGAAAAGGCAATGATGTAACATTAAA